AAATATTAACATAGTGTCTCACAGCTCAAGGCCACATCCCTAGGATGACTCTAGCCCCCCCTTAATGTGCCCACCTGAGAAAAGTCAAGGCTGCCAAAAGAATTCACTGTTTATTCCAGCCAGCAGCTGAAAATAAGGCCCCTGTCTCCTGATCCCTGGGGGAGGGTAGAGCCTAACTTCACTAAGTGCCAGTACAATCCCAGACAGGTTTCACATGGACCAAACCCCACCCCCTTCCTGCTGTTTTGCAATTTTTCACTTCCCTGACTCAAGCCCTTGCTGTTCCCTCTCCCCCTCCTCCACTCTGCCTTTAAAAGTCCCAGTCACCTCTGCACAAATCGAAGTTGAGTTCAGTTCACGCTGGACCCTCCTCCCTACTGCAGTAGTACATTACTGATTAAAATCTGCACTCACTACTCCAACTAGTGGCTGCCTTTGTTTATCTTTGACAGCACTCAGGAGCCCACCTAGGTTAATAGCTGGGGCTGAGGCTTACCTATGCTGCCCGTCTGTCTGCACGCCTTTACTGGATGTCCTTGTTCTCACTCTACCTGTCTCTCAAATCCCTAGCCCTGATCTTGTCCCCCTGCTGTCTGCCTCATGCCTTCTTTCTTTGTCTGGCATTTTTCTGGTTGCACCGCTTGGTTCCTGCCTTGCATACCTTTGGATAATCCCATTTCTGCTCGTACCACCTGCCTTAGTCTCTGGGGACCTGTAGAGGCCTGACTAACCTCCCAGCACCCTCTGTCCTTGCTCCAAAGCCACCAACCCACTCCCTACATGCTGCAGGGGAGGTTGACCTTGGTCTTTATCAACTGTCCAGGCACTGTGCACAGGGCAGTTTGTAAGACCTACACCATCAACGCGTCCCCAGAGATTCAAAAATAGAGCTCGCAGATTTACAACCGGTTTTTAATGCAGAATATTGCTGCATAAAATGGCTAAACAGCCATGATCAGTACTAGATGAAAGATGACGTTTGAGTCCAGGTTTAAGAACAAGCTGGCTCCTAAGTTACGTGTTTATGACACCCCTGTTCTCCCTGATTCTCCCTTTCTCTCACCCCAGAGCTGGCGCCTCTCCCTGACTTCACTCTGCCCACAGCCTCCTATAGCAAATTGCCTTCGACGAACTGGTTTAGGATTCCCTTAGAGTCATAGTCTCTCCAGCTTTTTTTATTCTAGGCAAATCAGACGACCAATATCCAGGAGATAAGAGAAAGACACAGTGTCCGTGTTTCTCCACAGTCCCGCTTTGATACTTCACCTGCTGAGAGTTTGCAAAGGTCTCCCTTCTGAGATGTAAAACCCACTTCAGAGTGAGGTGGTGCCAATCCTTCCCTCACTTACTGGCAGCGTGGATGCAGCGGTCGGGCTGGCTGGGTGGGGAGCCCATGCACGAGGGTTTGCTCCACTTAAACTCTGTGATGGGGAGTCATGCCTCCACCCTTTTTCTCTTTGTAGGCTGCTGGGAGTTGTATTAATACAAGTGATGAAACATATCAAACCCTGGTTAGCAGGTTTCCTTAGCATTTCCCTGGCTAAAAACAATGAAAGAAAAATCAACTTGCATAGAAAGTCTACTGTGATAGAATGTTCTGGAAAAGAAAAAACCCAACTAATTCAGTGAAAAGAAAATAAGCTGGGTTTCCCTTACGCCCAATTTTAGGAACCGACAGGTGGTATAGGAGAACTGGTGCAGGAGGTTGGCCAGTATCTTTCTCCATTTTCAGGGTAAAGCCTTTTACCAAGCTCAGCCCTGTTCCAACTGCCAGGGTGGATTCAGAGCCTGCCAGGAGTGGGAATCTCATTGCTCTTCCCTGGGCCTCTGCAGATGGTTGGGGTAGGCTGAGGTCCACTGATCTAAGGAGCCCAGGGAACTTACCCTCTGCTCCTGTGTGGCCACGAAGGTCTGGAACCCTGGGGCCACCCCAAAGCCCAGCTCTTGGATGAAAGGCGGCTCAGACTGACTGTGGATCTGAACTTTCACTCCTGCTTCGAACGTCGTTTCCTCTGAAAGAACAAAGATGGACAGAGCCATGGGTCAGTGACAACAATTGCTCATGGAGTCTTGGGATTGAAAAGCTCAAAGGGAAGCCAAAAAAGCCATGTGGCAGGCAGAAGAGCAGCTCCCAAAGATGTCCACGTCCTCAGCGCTGGAAACGGTGAATAGGTTACCTTATGTGGCAAGAGGGACATGGCAGATGTGATTAAGTTAGAGATGGTGAGATGGAGAGATTATCCTGAGTTATGCGGGTGAGCCTGATGTAATCACAAAGGTCCTTATAAGAGAGAGGCAGGAGGATCAGAGTCAGAGAGAGAATGCACAAATGCTATGCTGCTGGCTTTGAAGATTGAGGAAGGAGCCATGAGCCAAGGAAAGCAGGCAGCTTCCAGAAGCTGGAAAAGGCAGGAAAATGGATGCTTCCATAGAGCCTCCAAGATGAGTACAGCCCTGCCAACACCCTTGATTTTCTTGAGTCTCGTGAAGTCCATTTTAAACTTCTGACCTCCAGAATATTAAGATAACACATTTGTGTTGTTTTCAGTCACTAATTTTGTGGTGTTGATTACAGCAAAAANATTATTAGTTATAGTAATCATAGAAATGTTGATGTGAATGAGTCTGATTTGCTGAGAATACTTCAAAGCAAACAACAAATTTGCCCTTTGAAGCTGGTAATATGTTCTGTTTCCTCATCCTGCTCACCACGGGGAGTCCCTCCGCTTTACACTGGGAAGATAGAGACTTCAGGTGGGAAGAAGTCACACTCTGGGTTTCAAAGACTGTTGTTCACTTACTCTGCCTATGCAAAGCCATGTGGACACCAGAGAGATGTCCACACAGGTAATTCACAACAGCGGTGGTAGGTACTTCAACAGACCACGAAGTCATATTTGCCTTGGACAGCTAGTCAAGAATTTACCTTTAGATTGCGAAAGAGTTCACATGCACATTTATTAGTCTAACCTCTGCCTAGTTCTTTGAAGGGACGTGGGTTTACACACACAACAGAGGGGAGGGCTGACAAAGATTCTCTCCTTGACCAAACTCTACCAGCTCCTCTGAGCCCTCTTTTCAACTAGGCCTCAATCTTGACCCATGAACACTTGAACAAACATTAACATAGTGTCTCACAGCTCAAGGCCACATCCCTAGGATGACTCTAGCCCCCCCTTAATGTGCCCACCTGAGAAAAGTCAAGGCTGCCAAAAGAATTCACTGTTTATTCCAGCCAGCAGCTGAAAATAAGGCCCCTGTCTCCTGATCCCTGGGGGAGGGTAGAGCCTAACTTCACTAAGTGCCAGTACAATCCCAGACAGGTTTCACATGGACCAAACCCCACCCCCTTCCTGCTGTTTTGCAATTTTTCACTTCCCTGACTCAAGCCCTTGCTGTTCCCTCTCCCCCTCCTCCACTCTGCCTTTAAAAGTCCCAGTCACCTCTGCACAAATCGAAGTTGAGTTCAGTTCACGCTGGACCCTCCTCCCTACTGCAGTAGTACATTACTGATTAAAATCTGCACTCACTACTCCAACTAGTGGCTGCCTTTGTTTATCTTTGACAGCACTCAGGAGCCCACCTAGGTTAATAGCTGGGGCTGAGGCTTACCTATGCTGCCCGTCTGTCTGCACGCCTTTACTGGATGTCCTTGTTCTCACTCTACCTGTCTCTCAAATCCCTAGCCCTGATCTTGTCCCCCTGCTGTCTGCCTCATGCCTTCTTTCTTTGTCTGGCATTTTTCTGGTTGCACCGCTTGGTTCCTGCCTTGCATACCTTTGGATAATCCCATTTCTGCTCGTACCACCTGCCTTAGTCTCTGGGGACCTGTAGAGGCCTGACTAACCTCCCAGCACCCTCTGTCCTTGCTCCAAAGCCACCAACCCACTCCCTACATGCTGCAGGGGAGGTTGACCTTGGTCTTTATCAACTGTCCAGGCACTGTGCACAGGGCAGTTTGTAAGACCTACACCATCAACGCGTCCCCAGAGATTCAAAAATAGAGCTCGCAGATTTACAACCGGTTTTTAATGCAGAATATTGCTGCATAAAATGGCTAAACAGCCATGATCAGTACTAGATGAAAGATGACGTTTGAGTCCAGGTTTAAGAACAAGCTGGCTCCTAAGTTACGTGTTTATGACACCCCTGTTCTCCCTGATTCTCCCTTTCTCTCACCCCAGAGCTGGCGCCTCTCCCTGACTTCACTCTGCCCACAGCCTCCTATAGCAAATTGCCTTCGACGAACTGGTTTAGGATTCCCTTAGAGTCATAGTCTCTCCAGCTTTTTTTATTCTAGGCAAATCAGACGACCAATATCCAGGAGATAAGAGAAAGACACAGTGTCCGTGTTTCTCCACAGTCCCGCTTTGATACTTCACCTGCTGAGAGTTTGCAAAGGTCTCCCTTCTGAGATGTAAAACCCACTTCAGAGTGAGGTGGTGCCAATCCTTCCCTCACTTACTGGCAGCGTGGATGCAGCGGTCGGGCTGGCTGGGTGGGGAGCCCATGCACGAGGGTTTGCTCCACTTAAACTCTGTGATGGGGAGTCATGCCTCCACCCTTTTTCTCTTTGTAGGCTGCTGGGAGTTGTATTAATACAAGTGATGAAACATATCAAACCCTGGTTAGCAGGTTTCCTTAGCATTTCCCTGGCTAAAAACAATTAAAGAAAAATCAACTTGCATAGAAAGTCTACTGTGATAGAATGTTCTGGAAAAGAAAAAACCCAACTAATTCAGTGAAAAGAAAATAAGCTGGGTTTCCCTTACGCCCAATTTTAGGAACCGACAGGTGGTATAGGAGAACTGGTGCAGGAGGTTGGCCAGTATCTTTCTCCATTTTCAGGGTAAAGCCTTTTACCAAGCTCAGCCCTGTTCCAACTGCCAGGGTGGATTCAGAGCCTGCCAGGAGTGGGAATCTCATTGCTCTTCCCTGGGCCTCTGCAGATGGTTGGGGTAGGCTGAGGTCCACTGATCTAAGGAGCCCAGGGAACTTACCCTCTGCTCCTGTGTGGCCACGAAGGTCTGGAACCCTGGGGCCACCCCAAAGCCCAGCTCTTGGATGAAAGGCGGCTCAGACTGACTGTGGATCTGAACTTTCACTCCTGCTTCGAACGTCGTTTCCTCTGAAAGAACAAAGATGGACAGAGCCATGGGTCAGTGACAACAATTGCTCATGGAGTCTTGGGATTGAAAAGCTCAAAGGGAAGCCAAAAAAGCCATGTGGCAGGCAGAAGAGCAGCTCCCAAAGATGTCCACGTCCTCAGCGCTGGAAACGGTGAATAGGTTACCTTATGTGGCAAGAGGGACATGGCAGATGTGATTAAGTTAGAGATGGTGAGATGGAGAGATTATCCTGAGTTATGCGGGTGAGCCTGATGTAATCACAAAGGTCCTTATAAGAGAGAGGCAGGAGGATCAGAGTCAGAGAGAGAATGCACAAATGCTATGCTGCTGGCTTTGAAGATTGAGGAAGGAGCCATGAGCCAAGGAAAGCAGGCAGCTTCCAGAAGCTGGAAAAGGCAGGAAAATGGATGCTTCCATAGAGCCTCCAAGATGAGTACAGCCCTGCCAACACCCTTGATTTTCTTGAGTCTCGTGAAGTCCATTTTAAACTTCTGACCTCCAGAATATTAAGATAACACATTTGTGTTGTTTTCAGTCACTAATTTTGTGGTGTTGATTACAGCAAAAATGGAAAACTAATTCAGGCCTACTCCTTGCCTCAGTTGCCAAATCTGTAGAATGGGTTTATGAGACTGGGAGTCAAGTTCCTTTATTTTATTTTTTTTAATTTATTTTTTTTTTGTCTTTTTCCGTGTCCGGCAATGGATCGCAACCCTCAGTGTCGCCCCCGTACCGGACCGGGACCGGCAACGGGATCACAACCCTCGGCGTTGCTCCCGTGCCTCGCTCAGCCAGTGAGCGGGAACCGGTCTGTATGTGGGATCTGAACCCTTGGCGGGAGCGCCACCGCGCTTCCCAAGCGGCGCACTACAGCAGTGCGCCACCGGGCCGGCCCAGTTCCTTTATTTTATTTACTAACTTCTCTACTGGGCCATGAGCCAAAGGTGAGGATATCAGGAGGAGGAGAGCATGATGACACAGACGTGGAAATAAAAATGCAGGGCTTGCGTGTAGACCAACATACCCCTGATGCCACAGGAGATGCACAACTAGAAGAGAAGCTTCCCCTCTTTTTTCCTTTTCCAGGAGAGATGGCCCTTGGCTGTGGCAGGTGGCAGGGGTGGCAAAGATTGGCTCACCATCTGTGTTAGTGCTCACAGTTGGTGGAGAGTGCACTTATGGGATTGTACCAGCCTTTACCAGATCATCTCTGTCTTATCCTCTCCAAACAGCTGCAGAATGAGCTTTCCAAAATGCAAACTTGCATAACTCTCTCCCCTCATCTAAGGAACCCAGGCTCCTTAACTGGCCCCTGTTCCAGCCTTGCCCTGGGCAGCCCTCTACTTTGTAGCACTGTGTGGTTGAATCCTCTGGGGCTGCCTGGATTGGTTGCTACTGGTCCTCGTTATGCACAGATGCACATGCGTCTCCTTCTGCCTGGAATGTCCTTCTACTTTGTCCACCTGACTGTCTCCTTACTTGTTGCTGAAGATTCAGCCCCCTAGCCCCATGCAAAGCAGCTCCTTTTCTTGCTTGGTTGTATCGTCCTCATCAGCCTGCTAGAGCCTCTGCTGCACCACACGATGATCCTTCATCTGACTGTCTCCTCCACCATGCTGGAGCATCCTGAGGCCAAGTTCTGGGTTTCTCTCTGGATCTTAAAAGTCCTGCACAGAGCCAGGCATGTAGCAGGCACTTAGGGAATGCCTACTGAATGAATGAGTGGGAAATTTGTGAATCACAACTTATTCATTTATTAAAGGGCAGGGCCAATCTGGAATCCAGATCAAGGAATGTTCTAAAAGAATGTCCTAAAAGAAAAGAATGGGAGAGGATGGGTAAATGCAGGAATGAGAGAAGATTCCTGGAACAGGGGGAAAAGGGGTCAGAGGTTGGGGGTCAGGGGTCAGGTATCAGGGAGGGAGGAAGCCCTGAGTCTGTGGCTTGTGTAGGGTTTGGGGACACGCTAAAGCTGGCACAGGAGAGAAAGGCCTGGAAAGAAGGGCTGAAACCAGGATAGAAATGGGCACGACTCACGGAATGCATGGGGGCTACTGACCGAGGCAGCACAGGGGTCTGGAGCTGGGTGAGAATTCCAAGGTCAGGAAATGCATGGAAAGGAAGGCCCAGTAGGCAGATTGGGCCCAGGGGCAAGAATACGCAGGGCTTTTCTCTCTGCCACAGCTAGTGCTGCTTCTGGAATAAACTCGTACCTCTTCCGAATCCTAGCCCAGTCTGCTCATTTCTCATTAGTAGAGACACGCCAGGCCCCACTGTTCTGCCCGAACTCGCAGCATTTCTGACAGAAAGGCTTCATTTCTCATTTCTCACACACCTCCTCCTTTGAGCCTGTCTTACTGGCTATAATGTATCAGTCCAGTGGCTGACACAGGGTTTCTGGAAAAAAGAACCTCAGCTAGGATTTCTTTCAGGTATGGCTTCATGGAGCAGGAGAGAATCCCAGGCAATCTGTGGACCCTTCCCTTTCCCTCCAGCAGAGTTGATTGTTCTGTGATTTCTTTACCCAGATCACCTGTCCAAACTCCTGTCCACGTGTCCCTGCTTGCCTGCGGCTTTGTGTTGGTCTCTCCCACAGACGGTGAATTCCTCAAGAGAGGAGACCGTGTCCTATTCACCCCATTGCCCATCGTCTGGCCCAGGGCTGACCCACAGGTAGGACCTCAGTGATGGTTTCCAGATCAGGGTGGAGGACTTCAGGAGAGGGAGGACTGGATGAGAGGAGGGGGTTGAGAGGTCAGCTTTCCAGGGCTGTTTTCTAACGTCTGTCCAAGAGAGGGCTTGAGGAGAGGGCAAGAAGCCTGAAGAACGGGCTCAGATGGGGAGAAGGAGCGAGCGTGCAGTGACATTGGGATTACAGGGATGCCCATGCTGGGAGGGATCGAAAGCATGTTCAACCAGCTGTGGGAGGGAACGGCAGAGATGCCAAAACTTGTTTTTCAGAGCTAGTTGAAGCTGTGTGCCTGCGGCACAACCGAGCTTAAGACACCTTATAGCCAGTAAGTCGGGCTGAGAGGACAGACCTGCAGCTTACAGGGAGAAATAGGAAATGAAGCCTTTCGGAAATGCTGTGAGTAATGGGTGAAACGGGCCTGGTGTGCCTCTGCTAGTGAGAACTGAGCAGACCAGGCTGGGGTTCGGAAGAGGCACGAGTCTAGTGCAGAAGCAGCAGTAGCTGTGGCAGAGAGTCAAATCTTAAAGTGACCGCATGTGTTTACAAACTCCCAGCAACCAGAGGGATGAGAATGGGAAAAGGGGATGGCTAAGACTTTTGCTCTCTTTAGAACAGAATGGTCCAGTAGAACTTTCTGCCAAGATGGAAATGTTGGACACCTGTGCTGGCCAACAAGGTAGCCAGTAGCCACGAGATATGGCTAGTGGGACTGAGGAATTGAATTTTTCATTTTGTGTAATTTCAGTCAATGAAAACTTAAATTTTAAATAACCACATTTTGTGACTAGCAGCAATCTTCTAGAAGATCCAGCTATGAGCAGACCCCAGCCGTCTCAGAGCTGTCTGCAGGGGAGGCGGGGACTCTGTCATCCCGCCTTCCTAAGCAGGTGTTCTTGTGGGTCTCTTGCCAGAGTCCCTGGGTGATTTGGGTTCTGAGCAGCAGAACCGTGTGTATTCATGGTCAGAACACGACTGTGGTCCCAGATCCTCCCAGCCCTGCCTTCCCGAAACACTATTTCTATACCTCCAGGTGGAATTTGGTCTATTCCTCACTAGAACTGCCTGTGGCTTCCCTCTTTGGATTGTTCTCCAGGTTGGCAGTGACAGCAGCCCCCCTCCAGTCCCTACCCTCATACCCAGCCTCAGTTTCCTCTATTTCCTGGACATGGCACATTATGAGGTATGAGGACCCAACTTGAGAGCTGAGGTTACCAGACACAGACTGTTAGAGCCAAAGGCAACCTCAGACCATCTACCTCAGAGGGTATCAAGCTAGAATGCACATTACAATACTTCACTTTGGAGTGGAGCCCAGGAATCTGCACTTCTGGGGATTCTGATATAGGATATCTGAGGCCAACCACATTTGGGCAAACAGTGGTCTAGTCCGGGGAGGGAAGACAATGTGCCCAAGGTCACACACCACGTCAAGAGCAGAAGCCAGGTTGATGCTAGTTCTACCCCACTAGGGGTGTGGTTTATTTAGTGTGAGCTCTGGGGTTCTGATTGTGGGCTGAGGGAAGGGAACATCTGTTTGCATTGTTATAGCCCCTAAGGCCCCTAACACAGCAGCTGCACAGAGCTGAGCTCAGTAAATGTCTGTTGAATGAACTAAATGAGGAGGAAGTGGCCTCTGCTTGTGTCTGCTGTTCCCTGTTCTCCAACCAGCTGTGAGTCTGCCCAGGTTCTGGTGGACACTGGGAAACACCAGCACAGCATGACTCAGGAGGTCTTGTCCGCTCAGATGTGGGGGTGAGGGGAGCAGGCTACACACACAACCACCACCGCAACAGTAACAATAACTGGGACTGCCCTCATATTTGTAGGTCCCAGGGCAAAATAAAATGTGGAACCCCTTGTTAAAAAGTAAAAAATTTCAAGGTAGCGATTGCAGAGCGTTAAACCCAGAGTGTGGCCCTTCTGAGCATGGGACCCTGTGTGACTGCCCAATAATAGTCCAAACCTGTGCTGGATGGAATCGTACATATCTTCATATCCCTGTCATCACAAATGATTCAACAGCGAGTTCCTTCAAAAAGTACAGGCCCCTTGTGCAGAGCAGGATTTGTTTACATGTCATGAACACTAGGACTCAAAGCCCCAGGGGGAGAGAGCAGAGAGAAAAGGAAAGCTACTGTGTACCCAGTGTTAGGAGCCCTTGTTAAGTGGGAACAAGCTAAAACCCAGACAGCTTAACATGCAATATAATGCTAGATCAAGAGGAGCATGGCAAAGTGGAGTTCAACCTGCAGAAGCAAGATTCCCTAGCACTTTTCAGGAGCACGGCCATGGCCGGCACAAGGTGAG